GCCTAGGGGTTCGAGACCAGCTTGGGCAACTTGGTGAGACCTTGTCTCTACAATAAATCAAAACATTGCTGGGCGTGGTGGCACATGCCTATAGTTCCAGCTACTTGGAAGGCTAGGCCAAAGGATCGCCTGAGCCCAATAAGTCAAGACTGTGGTGGCCATGAGCATACCACCGTATTCCAACCTGGGTGACAGAGTGAGACTCCAACTCAAAAAAAAAATTTACTCTGTCACGTAGGCTGAAGTGCAGTGATGTGATCCCAACTCACTGCATTCTCAACCTCTTGGGCTCAAGCATTCCTCCCACCTCAACCTCCCCAATAGCTGGGACTGCAGGCACCCTAGCTGATTTTTTTATTTTTATTTTCATAGAAGCGAGGTTTCACTATGTTGCCCAGGCTAGTTCTGATCTCCTGGGCTTAAGCAGTCCTCCCACCTTGGCCTCCCAAAGTGCTGGAATTATAGATTCTTAAATAGCAGAAGTACAGGCCTGAAAAGAAAAATAGATCAATTGAGTTTTATCAAACTTCAAAACGGTGCATGAACAGGCACAATCAACAGAGTAAAAAGGCACCCTACAGAATGGGAAAAAATATTTGCAAATTATCTATGTGTCAAGGGTGTAGTACCCAGAATACATATAAAGAACTCTAAAACTTAATAAAAAGGCAGCTCGATTCAAAACTGAGGAAAGGGCCTAAGTAGACATTCCTCCAAAAAAGATGTACAAGTGGCCACTTAGTACTGAAAGATGGTCAACATTGCAAGTCATTAGGGAAATGCATATCAAAATCACAGTAAGATACCACTTCATACTCATTAGGATGTCTAATATTAAACAAAAAGATAAAATAATTAATGTTGGAGAATTAGAACTCTTGTTGCAGGTGGAAAAGTCATAGTACAACCACTACAGAAACAGGCTTGGTGGTTCTTCAAAAAGCTAAACATGAAATGAGCATATGATCCAGCAGGTCTTCTCCTAGGTGTATGCCCAAAGGGACTGAAAGCAGACACATAGGTAGCTATTTGTACACCAATATTCACAGTAGTACTCACAGTAGCCAAAAAATGAGGAAACAACACAAATGTCTGTTGACAGTGAATGGATAAGCAAATGTGATATATAGATACAAGAGAGTATTATGAAGTCTTAAAAAGGAATTAAGCTTTGTTGTTTATTTATTTATTTATTTATTTTGAGTCGGGGTCTCACTCTGTCGCCTAGGCTGGAGTACAGCAGCACAATCACGATTCATTGCAGCCTCGACCGTCTGGGCTCAGGCAATCTCTCCACCTCAGCCTCTGGAATAGCTGGAACAACAGGCATGTGCCACCACGCCTGGCTAATTTTTTGACATAGAGATGAAGTCTCACTATGATGGCCCAGCTGGTCTCAAACTCCTGGACTCAAGCAGTTCTCCCACTTCAGCCTCCAAAAGTCCTGGGATTACAGGTGTGAGCCACCACACCCAGTTTAGGAATGAAATTTTGATACATGTTACAACATGGATGAATCTTGAAAATATTATGCTAAGTTAAATGAGCTATACAGTATAAATATTAGATGATTCAACTTTATTAGTTACTTAGAATAGGCAAATTTTTATTTTTTAAAAAAATATTTATGTATTAAAGATGTGGAGTACAATTCAGGGTTAAGTATACAAATGTTCATTATGCAGGTACCCTTGTTGATGAGGCATGCCCCACCTCCCCCGACAGAATCCCACTACTGCCAATAGTGGCAAATTAATGGACAATGAAAGTAAATTAGAGATTACCAGGCCCGGGGGAGAGGAGAACTGGAAGTCGTTGCTTAATGATCACAGAGTTCCTGTTGGGGTGATGAGGAAGTTTGGGTTGGAAACGGTGGTGGTAGATGCACAACTCTATGAGTGCCATTAATACTGCTGAATTGTGTGCTTAAAAATTATTTAAATAGTGAATTTGATGTTATGTGTTTTACCTCAGTGAAAGAAATATCCTATGCAGGCTCCTCTGTTCTATTGAATGAAATATCTTGGGAAGTACATATATAGAGACAGAGCAGAACAGTGATTGTCTACTGAGTAGAACTGAGATCTTTTTGAGGAAATGGAACTGTTCTTCTACTGGATTGTGTTGATGGTTGTAAAACTCTAAACTTGCTAAAAATTATTTTTATGTATGCATATATGTATATCTGTATTGTGTATGTCTCTCTCATTTGTAGTCAATTTGTATTCTAAATTTGAGCTCTAGTCTTTATGTAAAGACAAGTAATACCTAAGGTCAAATTGTCTCCACTATCAAGTCATAAGTTTAAGCAAACGAAATCATTCTAACCTTTCCTTTGCCAAGAAATTGTCTTGACTTGTTTGCATTACCCTATCTGCACTGAAAGCTTATACCTTAATGATCTTAGCTATTCCAGTAAACTGGTTTAAAATATTATCGTACTCATTTTGGTGCCAATTAATGCACTTAAGATATCTTATTGATATTATTCCTGTAGTATATTAACAATGAGGGAACAATATATAGCAATTATTTTAGTTTTAGAAAGCACTTAACTAGATTAAAAGCTATAAGTAGCAGATACTACATTTGGAGGTGTTCTGATCATATACTGAACTTAGTTGCTAACTATAATCTTATTATCCAAAGGAGAGATGACAAAATTAATATAGATTACATTGGAAAACATGTAGTTCTATTAGAAATAAAAATCCCATTGTCAGACTGGGCACAGATTCTCACACCTGCAATCCCAGCATTTTGGGAAACTGAGGCGGGAGAATTGCTTGAGCCCAGGAGTTTGAGACCAGCTGGGGCAACATAGCAAGACCCCAGTCTCAAAAAATTAGCTAGGTATAGTGGTACATGCCTGGAGTTCTCACTACTTAGAAGACTGAGGTGGAAGGATCACCTGAGCCAAGGACTTGGAGGCTGCAGTGAGCTATGAGCATGCTACTGCACTCCAGCTTGGGCAACAGAATGAGATCTTGACTCAAAAAAAAAAAAAAAAGACCAGAAGATAAAATATGGCCGGGCACAGTGGCCTACACCGTAATCCCAGCATTTTGGGTGGCAGAGACAAGAGGATTGCCTAAACACAGGGATTCAAGACCAGTCTGGGCAACATGGTGAGATCATGTCTCCACAATAAAACAAAAAATTAGCTGGGCATGGTGGCATGTGCCTTTAGTTCTAGCTACTTGAACAGCCGAAGCGGAAAGATTGCCCAGAGCCCAGCAGTTCAAGGCTGCAGTGGCTGTAAATATGCCACTGCACTCCAACCTGGGTGACAGAGTGAGACTCTGACTCAAAAAGATAGGTCAGGCTCGGTGGCTCAGCCTGTAATCCCAGCACTTTGGGAGGCTGAGGTGAGTGGATGGCCTGAGCCCGTGAATTCAAGACCCACCTGGGCAACTTGGTGAGACCTCATCTCTACAATAAATCAAAAATTAGCTGGGCATGGTAGCACATGCCTGTAGTTCCAGCTACTTAGAAAGCTGAGGTGGAAGAATTGCCAGAGCCCAGCAGGTCGAGGCTGCAGTGGCCTCCTGGCCACTGCACTCCAGTCTGGGTGACAGAGTGAGACTCCGACTCAAAAGAATATATATAAAATATGCAGGAGAATATTATAGGATATATGGAAATGCTAAACCGTTTTATAGAAGGGACTTGAATGAACATCTACAGATTTTGTTACTCGCAAGAGTTCTGGAACCAATCCCCACAGATGCTGAGGGACAACTATGCTTTATTTTTAATAAAATATGTGTTCATTTTATCATAGGAGGCTATTCTGCTGATCATCCTGTCATTAAAATCTTTTGGAGAGTTGTAGAAGGTTTCACTGATGAGGAAAAACGCAAATTGCTAAAGTTTGTAACAAGCTGCTCTCGACCCCCCCTCTTGGGATTTAAGGTACACATCTTTCTTGCTGTTTGCTTTAGAAACCAAACTGTAACAAGAAAGGCAGCAGAATGATCAGTAGAGCAAATCATTTAAGTACTGATTATCTATATATGCCAATACTGGTTTTATTTTGTGTTGCTTTTTTCAAAACTGTATTCACAGCATTAACCTATAATATGATAACTGTACATTGTGGTTATGATTACCTGTGAGCAGGCCCTACAGTCATATGGGCTGTCTGTGCTATGGATCGTTGATCTCATGAGTCTGTAGTGTGTCTTGAGCCTTTTACCACTGAACTGAAGAAAGCATCACCTAAAAATGTTGCTAGGATGTGTGTAAGCAGAAGTATATTTTTGCCTTGAGTGTTCATTGTTATTTGCTCTGTTAGCCAACCTTATTTTACCACTTCTGAAAATTAACATTGATCTTATCTAATTTGGCTTATTTTTAGCAATTAAAATTACTTGAGGGACGTCTAACAGTATGTCCTGTACTCACTGCAAATTAAAAATAAAGCAGCCGGACTCGGTGGCTCAGCCTGTAATCCCACGCTTTGGGAGGCTGAGGTGAGTGGATTGCCTGAGCCTGTGGGTTCAAGACCCATCTGGGCAGCTTGGCGAGACCTCGTCTCTACAATAAATCAAAAAATTAGCCAGGCATAGTGGCACATGCTTGTAGTTCCAGCTACTTGGAAGGCTGAGGTAGAAGGATTGCCTGAGTCCATCAGGTCAAGGTTGCGGTGGCTGTGAGCTTGCCACTGCACTCCAGCCTGAGTGACAGAGTAAGACTCCAACTCAAAAACAAACAAACAAATAAAGCAGTATTATTAGTACTTAAAAATATATACAGTGGTATATAGAGAATAATAATATTAAGTTAGATAAACATTGTACATAACTTGTGCTTATAAAACTTGAAGGATAGGCTTTTACTTTCTACTAACCTTTGATCAGAAAGTTTTATTTAGCATTCTGTCACACTCATGTAGTTACAGTTACACAGGATGCTGAGGTGGGCAGGGGGTCACTTGAGCCCAGGAGTATGAGACCAGATGGGGTACATAGCAAAAGCTCGGTCTCAAAAAAAAAAAGCTATATTATGTATATTTTATATTTCTGAATGATGCTGTTTTGTTAACCTTTTACTTTGAATTATTTTAAGCTTATAGAAAAGTTAAAAGAATGTCTTCTTTTTTTGGTTTGTTTTCTGAGTCAGTCTCATTCTGTTGCCTAGGCTGGAATGCAGTGGCACACTCACAGCTGCCACAGCCTCAATCTGCTAGGCTCAAGCAATCCTTTTGCCTCAGCCTTCCAAGTAACCATGTGCCACTATGCCTGCCTAGTTTTTTATTTGTTGTAGAGATGACGTCTCACTGTGTAACCCAAGCTGGTCTCTAACTCCTGGGCTCAGGCAGGCCTGTCATCTCAGCCTTCCAAAGTGCTGGAATTACAGCTGTGAGCCACCATGCCCCACTAGACAAAGGATTTCTTATCCCACCTTGACCAGTTGTTAACATTCTACCACGTTGCTTCATTGTTCTCTTCATATGTTTCTTTTATGAATCATTTGAAATAATTTGAAGACATCATGTCTCTTTACTCCCTAAATATTTCAGCACATATTTCCTAAGAGTAGGGACTTTTTAAAAATAACCACAGTTAAGTGATCAATAATAAGAAATCTGGGCCAGACACGGTGGCTCACACCTATAATCCCAGCACTTTGGGAGGCTGAGATGAGAGGATTGCTCGAGCCCATGGGTTCGAGACTAGCCCAGGCAACTTGGCGAGACCTCATCTCTACAATAAATCAAAAAATTAGCCAGGCATGGTGGCGCATACCTGTAGTTCCAACTACTTGGAAAGCTGAGGCAGAAGGATCGCCTGAGCCCAGCAGGTTGAGGCTGCAGTGGCCATGAGCATCACATTGCACTCCAGCCTGGGTGTCAGAGTGAGACTCCAACTCAAAAACAAAAACACAATAATGCTGGACCTTAGGAAACTAGTATTAATCCCATTGGTAACTCAAATGCATACAGTAAGGTGCTTGGGAAGGTCAAAACTGCAGTGGTCGTGAGTGTGCTACTGCACTCCAGCCTGGGCAAGAGTGAGACTGCGACTCAAAATAAATAAATAAATAAATAATAAGGAAATTTGACCTTGACTTTAGCTAATGCATTGGTTGCAGAATATGGTCCTGGGACCAGTGGTTTCAGCTTCACTTGTATGTGTTAGAAATGAACATTTTAGCACCCCTAACCCCCAGACCTGCTAAATCAGGTGGTGTGCAGTAGTGGGCTTCAGCCAACCCTGAAGGCATTGTGCCCATTGTCCTGGCATGTCCTTCTTAGAATTTATTTTCCCCCATCTGGACTCCAACCCAGGACCACATGTCGCTTTTAGTTGGCATGCTCCTTAGTTTCTATTCATCTGTATTGTTGACATTTTCAGTGGTAACAAGCAAGTTATCTTGAAAATATCCCTTAAGGTAATGGAGCAATTCCACTCCTAAGAGTGTATCAAGACAGGTGACAGCATAGCTTCACACACTGTCCATATGAATGTTCAGAGCAACATTATTTATAATGGCCCAAAACTGGAAACAATTCAGATGTCCATCAACTGATAATGGGTGCCATAGGATGGAAGATATTCAGAAATTAAAAGGAATAAATGACTGATATATATACAGCATGTATGAACAATGAAAATTCTGTGCTAAGTGAAAGAAGTAAGACACAACCATACATACTGTGTAATTCCACTTGTATGAACTGTCTTTTTTTTTTTTTTGAGTTGGGAGTCTCACTCTGTCATCCAGACTGGAGTGCAGTGATTTATTGTAGAGATGAGGTCTCGCCAAGTTGCCCAGGCGGGTCTCGAACCCACGGGCTCAGGCAATTCACTCACCTCAGCCTCCCAAAAGCGTGGGATTACAGGCTGAGCCACCGAGCCCCGCTCTGAAGAGTCTTTAAAAAGGCAAATTTAGAGAGACAGAAGATCAGTGACTGCATAGGGCTGTGGGTAGAAGTGGGGAACATTTTAGGGGAATGGAAATATTCCAAAACTAGGTTGTAAGGATGGTTGCACAGCTCTATAGATTCACTAAAATTGTTGAATTGCATATTTAAATGGGTAAATCTATATAGTATGCAAATTATACCATAATTAAGCTGTTTTTAAAAACTGACATCTATAAATTAACACAGCATCTCAATAATGCCCTCAGAACTGGAGCAATAGCTGGGCTTGGTGGCTTAGCCTGTAATCCCGCGCCTTTGGGAGGCTGAGGTGAGTGGATTGCCTGAGCCCGCAGGTTCAAGACCCGCCTGGGCAACTTGGCGAGACCTCATCTCTACAATAAATCAAAAAATCAGTCAGGCGTGGTAGCGCTTGCCTGTAATTCCACCTACTCGAAAGGCTGAGGTGGAAGGATCACCGGAGGCCAGCAGTTCGAGGCTGCGGTGACTGGGAGCAGCCACTGCACTCTGGTCTGGGTGACAGAGTGAGACTCCAACTCAAAAAAAAAAAAAAAAAAAAACTGGAGCAGTGACAAAATAGAGATGGAAAAAGATGTGAGTATAATGAGTTAATTTCAAATAGGAGGTCAGTAATCAACACTGTTACATTTCAGAAACAATGAATAATAAAGACATAAACTTCAACCTATTTGTGAACTATTTTTCAATAATATTAGTAAAAATAAAATTACTGAGCCGGGCTCAGTGGCTCAGACTGTAATCCCGTGCCTTTGGGAGGCTGAGGTGAGTGGATTGCCTGAGCCCGCGGGTTCGAGACCCGCCTGGGCAGCAAGACCTCATCTCCACAATAAATCAAAAAATCAGCCGGGC